CATTTTTGAGGGCATATTATTTATGGGTATAATGCATGTATGCATGAGTGGTTTTTGATAGATTGCATTTTCAATACAGATTTATCTACATTTAATAAAGTGAAAATCAAAATGCCAAAAGGTTTGTCTCCTCACAAGGAAAAATCAGAAATTATTTCAAAACAAAATAACAAATCTTATTTTGAAGAAAATGTTGATTACTAAATAAAAACTCTGTCCAGATCTTCAGGTGGAGACACATTTTGGAAAATATTTTTCTAAAAGAATTTTCATTTTTTTAACAGTGAGTGTTATCATCCATCTCTCTTGATCTGAATTTAATGATCTATATGTATGAAACAGATTTTTTTTAAAAATTAACAGGACAGCTGAAAGTGACCAGTAGAAAAAATACTAAGTCTTCTTCCATATCTGAGTCTCCCCTGAGGATCTGTTCTCCTGCCATGAGTAGGGGATTGTTGAACCACATGCATGTTCGTTTCACAGAGTGTACACGCACCAGGGGCTCACATTGTCAGCTGCCCTTGGCTTTGCTTATTGCAGAACTTTCTCCTGACCTTTTACATGGAGCTCTTCCCTGCTTTGACTTTCCTAAGATGTAGATAAGCTGTCCATAACTCAGGGCAGCTGCCGCTTGTTCTGTCCCTGTGTGTGGCTCTCCTGCGTGTTCAGGTAGTGTGCTCTGCTGCTTTTGAGTCCACCTCAGCTTCCTGGATTAGCTTCAGTTTCCAGTATGTCTTTTCTGTCTGTGTGTTCTCACACAACAGAAAAAATAGATGTCAAGTGGCATGAATTGTGTGGACTTTACAGTCTTGCTATATTAGTTGAGTGGACGTTTGTCACCTGTCCACTGCTTGGTGGAAGGTGGTGGTGCTTTGCTGCAGTCCAGGGGTAGGAAGGTTTGGAGGTGCAAAATTCTTAAGCTCTTGCTAGTGGTGGTAAACTTTTTGGTCTAGCAAGCATCTTCACAATTCATGCATCATGTGTTCTATGAAGCACGTGAGCCGGGTGATCTGCTTTCTGTTTTGGAACAAAGGAGATAAAAAGCTGTGGGATGCAGCAAATTGATTGTGAAAAGTCAGAGTTTCCTTTAGCATTCCAGCTGACAAGTCTTAGGCTTAGTCTGATAGACTATTGTTGTTCTTCCAAACTAGATAATATGTCCATGAAATAACACACATTAAAGCGTAATAGTTTTACTTTAAATTGTGTGTGTCTTTTACTGATCTCTACTCTTTATTGTTAAATGAACTGTTAGAAGCTTAAAGGCTGTGTGAAATCTGTAGGTAAAGATGGACTGCATGACCTGGTTTTGCTGGAACAGGGATTTTTTTTTTCCTGAGGCCACCATGGTTACAGAAGTTTCTTATAGGCTCGTTTGTAATGACTGGGTTTTTCTGTTAAAGCAAATCAAAATGTGGATGTTTTATAGCTATTTTGCAATGCTGTGATGTGTAGCACTCATTGCTACATGTTCCATGTTGGCTACCACTGCTGTAATGTCAAAGCATCTTCCAGGAGTACATCTTTCATTGTGACATACCTTGGTCACTTGCTGCTTCTTGAATTTTCAAGGCAAGAAGTGTGTGCAGTGGCATTTACTTTGTAGAATTTTATAAAAATGTATGTTCAGACTGTGCTTGAAAAAGCAAAACAGAACAAATGCATTTAGAAGGCTTGTCCTGATAAGTCTTTTGACACAGCTATCTCATTATTTTAAGTATAATACTAGTAATACCACAGCGACTCATGAGCCTGGGTCTTGTTCCCAAATTTAACTCAAGAGACTTTTGAAAATAATTTGTGGACTTTACTCCAAAGCATTTCAGGAAGTAAGAGGCTATGTCCTTCCAGTGCAGAAGGATACCTCATCCATGTAAAATTCTTCCATGTAAAACTCCACTTTGAAAGGGATAGAAGTGCTGTCTCCCTTGCTCATTAGCTTCTCTTCACAATTACTGTAAAGAGAAAGGAAGAGAACAGAGGGAGCATGAAGCATTCACCTTTTCTCCGATTTGTTTGGGGCAAAGTGTTTCTAGGAGTCAGATGCTGAGTTTTAACAGTGCAAAATTATCACAAAAGTCCTTTTGTTTCCTTTTATTAATGGCAGCTTCAGTGATTCAGAGTGTGCCTGGTGTGATACTATAAATACTAAATACATACAGTATAGCTTTATATATTGTAGTAGGACAAAAGGTTGGTATTCTTGAAGTGAGTTGAATCCTTGGCTATTGTCAGAGTCATTACAGAGTCTATCAAAGGTAGGTTTTATCTGCTAGAAATTGATCTGTTTGGCATCATTACAAAGAAATAGTATCAAAGCTGTTTCATACATAAAGCACAAGATAATTGTAGTAAGCTGGCCAAAATTTTTCATCATTAGGGCTTGACTCTTTTTGATAGAAGGCTAGAGGAATGCTTGTTGTGAGACAATGCTTCTGAGACACCCAACCTGCATTTCTTTTGTTGAAGTACAGCCATACTGAATTTTAGACATAATATTAAATTGCTTTTCACATTTAAAAAAAAAAAATCGTGTTATTCTGTGTATTCCAAATGCGATGTGCTTCTTCATTTTTCTTCTATGCAGTACAGGTTCAAAACTGCAATGTGGTAGTAGGGGTTCAGTCTGTAGTCTTTTCTGGTTCAGTCTACAGTCTATTCTATGCTGTGTTTCTTTTTGCAGTCCTGTTTGTGTTCAAGATCTGCAGACCTAGCATTTTGATCTGAGCCTTAAGACATTACAGTGCCTGTTAATTTACCTTCAACTTATTTTTCTGTTATGCACAGTTCATTGCACCCTCTTAGGTACTACAGATTATCAATGTGTGATATTTTTTTAAAAAAATATAAATTAGTACTGCTAATTAAGGGAACTTAATTAATACAAACTTCCAACATGATAATACTTTCTGGATAGATACAGATAATTGTTTTAGAATAGTCAGGTTCAGGTATTTTTGCATTAGTAACTTTGGGCTGAGGGGAAAGGGAGAGGATACATGCTATTCTCCAGACTAATACTTGAGACACTGCCTTCAGAGAGGGAATAAATAGAAACTGGATCACAATGAGTGTTTCAGTGTTTTATGTTGTGATTATTGTATATGAACTACATGTCCATGCGTGGATGCCCTCCGCTTGTCTGCTTTTCTCATTAAATATTTGAGGAGTGTTTCTATCTAGACTACCACTTGACTACTTAAGCTTGGTTTCTTGATCCCTCCAGGGGGCATGGGGAATGAAGGCCTTAGCTACTTCATTCAATTTAGTCTGCAGTTTGTTGGTCCTTGGAGTGAGTGAGGCACTGAGCTCATGGCCACTAGAGAGTTGGAAATGCTGATGGGATTCCCAGAAGAGAGAGGCCACATAGCTGGGAATATTTAATGTCAGCTACTGACACACCTTTGGGGTTAGGAAATAGTGGAAGAGAGAGATAGTGTAATGTAGTATTGAATTTATCTAACTAAAGAAGAAATTAGGTGGGACAGACTCCTAAGAGAGGCAGGGTCCATAAGGACAGATCTACGTGAGAATTACATGGCTATGTATGAGTTTCCAGCTAAATAGAGGCTAACAGTATGTTTGCGTGGTGTAGTGTAGTGCCATGCAGAGTAATGCTAGCTTTTTGTGTCAGCATGATGTTCCTTAGTCACCCTCGCTACATAAGTGCTATCTACTTCTTTAAAAAGTAGATAGTACTTACGTGCTTAAAAAGTTCAGCCAACTCAAAACCAATCATTAAGTATTGATGCAGACGTAGGGCTGGTGTGTGCTTCACAGCAGAGTCTGATGTCTTTTTACTTTTCCTGTAGATCAATCTTACTTTTTGCCTTTTCTAATAATATTGAGTAATAATAAAATAATTATAGTATATACATTATATATTATATACATTATATGTTAAATTGTACATAATGTATTATATTATGAAATAATAATACAATATGTAATAAAGTCATATAGTTCTATATGTAATTGAATCATACTGAATGTTTAAAAAGTTTTTCTCTCATCTGCTTTTATATCAGTTATGTTTTTTGCAGTGTGTGTGATTTTTTTTTTTTTTGCAGTGTGTATTGTGCTAACAGAACTTGATAGCCATTAGCCACTGCTGCTCGTTTCGAAGCACGATGTAAGTGAACCAGTGAGCACAGGGAGAGCAATCTCCCTTCAGACAGATGCCAGCACATGTCAAGTATAGCTCACCCTGCCTCTGTTAGTCTTCTGTGGTTCTTGTGGTATGCCACAGGCAACAGCACTAGCGCAAAATTTGATCCACTTGACAGAAAATATGGGAAGTTGTTAGTCCCTTGAGTAAGAGAGTTTTATCAGCTTTTTTAGAGCAGTTTGCGGTCTTGGATCACTGATTAATTCTGGATTCTTTCAGGCAGTTTGGGGCCTAAAATGCTGTTTTATCCTTTTTTGCTGACAGTTTTTCTCAGATGTACTTTGCTTACGTGCTGCTGTGTTATAATAACGTGTTTATAGCTCCATTCAAACCACTCAGAATCTGGTTTTGAATTTTTACTTGTTATTAACAGTGCATTGCAGTTATGTATAATTTTCTAATCTGCCTCCAGGTGCATCCTGGATCATTAATCAAGGTTTTTAAGTTTTTCGTTTAAAGTTTCAGTCTCGGCATTGCAAAACCTCATCTATCTTTGATGGGATTACTGTGTTCTTGCAAGTACTGTGTTCTACCAAGTCTCTACATGTGCGTTTTTTGGGTCCAGCATTATAGCTTCTCAGTGAAGATCTACCACTGACTTTTGATCTTCTAGTGAAATTGTAAATAAAGCATTATGCTTCTTTAGGTGGTAATAAGTCTCTTGTTAAATACATTCATATCTTCAGGTTATGTTTGCAGTTTAAGTGTAAGTTGAAGGTGTCATAGGTTATTTTGGAATTTGTTAAATCTTTCTTCTGTGTCTTGTTTTCTAAGCATAATAGGATGTCTGAAGAACTGCATTATCAATGCCCTTCTTCTCCTCCTCCAGGTGTGAGGCAGCTAGCCCACATATTCATCCAGTTGGGTGGTGTAAAGAACATAAAAGGACACTCATCACCCCTCCCGGTTTGTATCTTATTACATATCTGAAAGGTTTAAGGAGGTTGTGGTCAGCTAGTAACATTAAAACTTAAAATAAACTTATTATTACCTCTCCTGAATTTTTATTTCTGTAGTTAAGAATTGGTATTTGGGGAGTTAATTTTTTTTACAGGACATAATATATTTAGAAGTACAGTAGACATCAGGTGTTAAGTATGCACATGTGTGCTGCTTTAGTAAAGGCATCTGTCCATGATATCCATCTATCCATTCCTTGGAATCTGAACAAGTTTGTATTTTTTGATTGAATGTATTCACTTAGAAGATTCACATTGTGTAAATGCTAATAAAACAAATTCCAGGTGTGTAAGATTATTGGATAAGAAAAACATCTTAATGTGAACTAAATATGCAAGATAATGGGTTGATGAGAAGATTGCCTTACATTTATTAAGGAATCAAATTTGTAAGGGATCTTTAGAAGGGAGAAAAACACAGTGAGAGACAATACAGAAAGATGAAAGTGTGTTTGACAGTATGAAATACAAGACCACCAGTTTTTCAAGACTGTTGTGTACAGCTGGGTGATCTAAATGCCCTGTTGCAGAAACTGCCATCCATGGTCTGAGAACATGGAAAATTTTAATTGATTAAAACCGACTTTGACAGAAATTCTAATAGCCACCAATCTTAAAAGGTCATAAGCAATCTGTCTGTCAGGAGGTTAATTACTACCTATTGTTTGGTGAAATCTCTTTTCAAACAAATCAGAATTGGTTTCAATCAATTCTAGATTATGAATCATAATGTTTAAATTTCAAGTTAAACTTCTGGTGCAGATTAAAGGCAAAAGACAGGCACTGCCTTTTCTTTAAGAGCAAAGCTGTCTTTGTGTTTCTTGAATAAAGTGTTTGTAAACATGATACAGGCAACATGAGAGAAGGGCAACATCTTCTTTGGTGATGTCTGTGAATTATTCTTATAGTAAATGTCCAAGCTATCTTTTTAGAAATGTAAAAACAAATTCACTTGCTAAAAGAGTAGCAAGTCAGGTGTGCTCTACTGTGGTTCAAAGCTGTCACTGATTAGATTGTGTTAGCAGGTAAAATACTGTTTATAAAATACAGGATTAGTTTTATAATACTTGAATGAATTTATTAATTAAGTGGACATATTTTTCCAGTCCACATTTTTTATATTCTCATACCCAAAGCAATTGTGATTTTTTTTCAGCAGTATTGTGTATGAGATCGTTGGGTTTTTTAACCTACATGGTGAATGTGTCAGATACAATTTAGAGTAGCTTTCTTGTAATTATTTTATAAATCTGAAGCATAAATCAGAAAAGTATTATAGAGATGTTAGGCATTCTCTAATTAGTCATCAGGTTTATTTTTTGCGCTGCAACATTTAATTTTGCTTGTATTTTTTCTGTGCTAGATTATCCACATGCTAAGCATTTTTCTTGGGAGAAGTATTTGGAAGAAACCAGTTCGTTACCTGCACCTGCAAGGGCTTTTAAAGTGGTGAGAAAATGCTTATATTTTTTCATGTTTTTAACTGCATATAATTAATTGAAGAAGAGAATACATATATGGTGTTCCTGTGTTTCCAAATGTAATCAATTAGTTGCATAATAGGTGGTTTATTTTTATGCAAGCTTGCAGTTTACTGTTAGAAATCAGATAATTATTACTATAAATCACTTTATTATTTTAATCATTATAAATGAGATTAAATGCTACAAAATACTACTAATAAATGTAATTTGCTATGGGAAATTACTGCCTAGTTATTAGAAATAATGAGATAGCTACTGAGTCATCATAACATATTTTGAACATAGGTATTTCTATCTGTACATTTTAAATGGTGTAATAAATACAGTGAGAATGTAAAAATGATTGTAGGAGGTCAGGCTGGTTGCCTGTCTAGTCTTATTGTCTCTGGCAGTAGGAAAGAGAGAGTTTGTATTTAATATTCTTCAGTGATACCCTTCTGTGAGCTTGTGACTAGGTTACATGGGCAGCATCCACAGGCAGCTCCACATCTTAACCATGGTGTTTGTGAACGTCCTTTTCGTTTAGCTTTGTACTTGCTCGTTTATTTCAGTGACACCCATCTTTCTTGAGCTCTTAAGATTTCAGTGAGTAAAGTGGACTGATCAGCAATGCAGAAAGGATTGCTGTTAGGAGCCATCATCAGATGGCTGGCAGCTCCCAGCCCCTTGTCTCACAGTGCGCTGAAGCTGGTTTGCCTTGGCTTTTCAGATTAGGGTCACTAATTCTGAGTAACACTTTGCTAAGAGCTGGATTAACAAAAGCAGAGGTGTGGTGCTTATAGCAAGCAGTTCCTGGGATCAGTAGTTCACCGGAGTTTATTACTGACCTGCAGTTTATCACCTCAGAATGCATCTGGCTTAATAACGTGTCTCGATCTTACGTTCTTGGCAGGAATACACATTGTGCAAGGTTTAAGAAGGTATTTGGTTATATCTGCAAGGTATAGTCGTTGGTAAAAGAGCAGTGGGCTGTGACCTTGACTACATTGAGCTAAAAGCAAATGTGTTCTTTTTCTCTCAGAGCATTCATATTTTAATTTCCCCTCGGGTTAAGGGAACAGCCACAGGGCTCAGCAGTGGGCAGGGTCTGGCTGGCCATGTCTGTACCAGGAAATGGAAAAGGACATGCCACATGCGTGCAGGCATTGATAGCATTAAACTGAGAGAGCACTAGCTGGCATCGCTCAACACTCTTCCAGAAACCATACTAGCCGAGAGTGGCTGGGGATGGTGTAGGTCCCAAAAGGTAGCATAGAGTGTGCCACTGGGCTTTGGGGGTGGAGGGGAAGGAGAGCTTGATTGCATGGAGGTCAGCTGTGCTCTGCCTTTTGGTTTCACAGCCAGAGATTCCTGCTTCCTGTACTAATATAATGGTAACCATATTAATACTGTGATAAACAAGAAAACAGATTTAATAAGAATGAAATGCTGATTGTGTTGGAGCTTGGGTAAAGTCTTCCTGAGACAGTCACAGTATTTTATGCAAGAAAACAGAGTCCTTAAACTGCAGCTGAGGAAGAAGCACCAATGTTCTGGAAAGTCTTAGAGGGACAGATAGATTATTTTCCTAGAAGTTTAAGATAAAAACCATTATGTGTCATGTGCATATGTTCCTTGAAAATGGAAATAATTTTTCTTTAGATTTCATAGATGTAGATGGCAAAGATAAAATCTGATACTCCTACCAAAGACCTACTTTGCCAGAATAGTGTTACAGAACAGGCATTTGGTCATGTTTGTTCTGATTATTTACTGTTACATAGTGGATTAGTTATGTTTTCAGTAGGAGACTGAAAAAGAATGCTTGATCCACAAAGTGAAAACACATACTAAAACCCAGAAATGTTTCTTGTAGACAATGTCATAGACATTTCAGGCTGCTGGTATGTAATACTTCAGTACTGCATTGAAACTGTTGTCCACAGTCTCTGGGAAAACTTTTCTTAGAGAATTTAGGCAAAAACCCAACAGATTTAAAATAAAAATCCCTACTTACTTGCTTGGAAGGCTTGAATGGAGAACCTGGAATCCCAAAGTAGTTACTTTATTTCTCTAGTTTAATAACACTTGTTTGAAAGATTTTTTTATGCTTGGATTTGTTGGAGAGGGAGGGCAGCTTTGAGATAATGAAGGCAGGCAGTTTGCTATGGATTTTATATGCTTGTACAATTGTGTGAGATTTTTGAGATTTTCTTCTGTTTCACATAATATTGTTCTGCTTTTCTAGAAACCTTCTCATGGCTTTCAGAAAAACATGAAACTTGAAGTGGTTGACAAGAGAAACCCAGTATTTATCAGAGTAGCAACTATTGTAGATACTGATGACTATAGAATAAAAGTAAGTTTCTCTGTCTTGCTCTACTTGAGTAACTGATGGGTAGTTTGTAAAAACAAAAAGCTATAGTTGTAAAAGTAAGCACAGGAAGAAGTGAGTCACATTGCTGTGTCCTGCTAAGCTTTTCACTGATTAATATGCATATAATTCCTTTCGAAAGGGTTGTTCTATTATCCTCTTAGTTACATTTGCTGACGTAGATAATTAGAGAGAAGAGTTGAATATGTTCAAAAATTGCTTTGGGAATAGTTGATATAAAACAGTTGTCTATTCTATCAAGAAATGTGGTGATTTAATAACAAGTGTCAAAGGGCTGCTGTGATATTTGTATTAGGACCCATAAAATATTTGGCCTAGGTTAATTGAATCTGTCTCTATAAACTTCCAGGGAGAGGAGAGAGAGAAAAAAAGAAACATGATTTCTTGTGACTTGTCAGTGACTTCTGCAATACTGAAATATATATTAATTATGGACTTTAGACTGGATTAATTTCAGATAATATATTCTAAGAAACTGCAGTTTTCTAGAAGCTGTATGATTGAATTATTTTTTCTTTTATTGTACAAAACCAGTTTACTCTCTGAAGCCCCTAACCATTAGAAGGGCTAGCATATTCCAGATACCCTATTAGATGGATGTGAAGGATATTTGTGTTTACAGTTAGTAAAGATTTATTAGGCATACATGGTATTTCAAGCAGAAGTGCATCTGACATTTCAGTTTGAATCTGAATTAACTGGTGATAGGGAGTCATCAGAACTAACATCTTCACACCTACACATTTTCTATCTAAACTTTTAAGTTGTCATGCAAAAACCAAAACCAAAACAAACAAAAAATCCCCTCTCCAGTCTAATTTATTCAAATGACAGGATTTGTAGCTTCAGGAGGGCTAATTTGTAGCATCTGTTGAAAGAGCTCTTTATGTGTTTGTGTATGTGCATCCACATGCATGAGAGATCTGACCTATTTACTAGTACAGAGGTCAAGTAAGATATGAAGATACTTAGCCTGAAAAAAAATGCATGTATAACCTATACTGGTGGTTTTCTGGGAAGTCACAAACTTGATTTTCTCTTGAATTTCAACTCCTTATCCTGTATAGTCTGATTTTAGTAAAATGGTTACTTGTGTATTGGGGGTTTTTGTTTGTTTTTTATGGTTAAATGCCATTTCTTTAGCACTTTGCGTATCGCTCTGCTATTATTAAATCCTGTTCAAACAGAAGATTAAAATATGTTTGGATTTTTGGCTTTTTTGAGGGAGAAAAAAGTCTGAAATTCATGCTTAATTCAAGTATTAATGTGAGAACTAAACTTGCCTGCTTTATTGCTGGGATTTGAGCCTGTTGATGCAAGACTTAATAAACAACCAAATGACACCTCTGTCTTTCCTTCAGTGGGAGTATGCCTGGGTCCAGAATCTAATGTACATGTATTTTCTAGTTTTCTTAAAGTGACTTGTCTAATGAACATGTGATCTTTAGGGATTACTTAAGGAAACTGATTTTGTAAATTTTTCTGATCTAATATATATTGTTTACCTTTTTGATTTTTAGGTCCATTTTGATGGCTGGGATAGTATTTATGATTATTGGACTGATGTAGATAGCCCTGATATCCATCCTGCAGGCTGGTGTACAAAAACCGGACACCCTCTTCAGCCCCCACTAAGTAAGAGAAATCATATTGTACTGTAATGATTTTAATAGGCACGTGTACTGTGCTGTCTTTTTCCCTGCCAGTGCCATCCAACGAAGAGTAGCAACTAGGATATGCAAAATAATGTAAATGTGACATTCAGTGCAAAATCAACAGTCAGTAATTAATCACTATTTAGTAGATAGTTTTATTGACCTTTACTGTAATGGAAATACAGTGTTTCTCTGGATAAGAACCACTGTCAAAACCTGAAGTAATGGTAAAGATCTCTTGTGTAAAATCCTGGCCCTCTTGAAGCCAGTGGTTAAACTGCTGTGGTCCTCAGCAGGGGTAGGGTATCACTCTTAAAATTTTCTGTCCACCTTCTATTGAAGGTTAGTATGCTTTTTAGCTCAAAGGACTCCAGACTGCACTGAGAAGACACAGCTTTCAAATGCTGTGGGAAATCCTCAAAACCAGCTAACTTCCTTTTCTTCTTCAGCTGAGGAGAGAGAGTTTAATGGTGCCCACATTGAAGATAAATCTAACAGTATGATAGCAATAATAATACTGTATTTACTGGCTTGTCCTCTCAGGAGATTTCGTTTTACTTGTTGAAGAAGTGGGAGGTCTGTCATAAGTGAGACTGAGGGTTGCAGGGAGAAGAGACTTCTGTGGTAAAGATATCCCTGCCTATGCCAGTATGTTTCTGCATAATTGTAGGGAATCACTTTAGGCAAACTTCGAAGCAGTTTTTAAGCGAGTGCTCTTCTCTGGGATTGTTTTATATTGTGACTCTGAGGTATGGTTTGCACAAGTGCTGAGTGTTCACAGCTGTAACCAAGATCAGAAAAAGCTGTGCTTGGAAAATAAGAAATGCTGAGCAATGCCAAGTACTCTGAAAAAAGTAAATGTAAAATAACTGGGATAAGGCACACACAAATTGTGTGAGTGTGTTACCTGAAAATCTCAGTACCTCAATGCAGCATCTCTAAAATGTCAAGAAGAAACGTTTCCTATCAAGCGCGTGATCAGAGTATATTCATTAGTTCTCTGAGCACTCTAGTGGTGCAGTGATGACTGCCTGTTAGGAAGTTAATCATTCTGCCTTCAAAGCAGAGTCTGAATAGAGTGCCGTAAGTGCCAAAGCACAAAATGAGTAATGAGGAGAAGATAGGATACCACATATCTGCTGCTTAATCTGAGATGTGTGTCCTGTGTACTGAAAGAAGGAACAGTCCAGTGGGAAAAAATTGTCTGTGACCACGTAAATAAAAATTGTGTAATAAGGCTCAAGAGCTGAATAAAGTTGCAACATTTCTATTATCTAAGATTGAAAAAAAAAAAAACCAAAACACCTTTGCCTAGGAGGGAGTATAAAATAAATCAATTCATTTTGTTGGAGACATTAAAAGAAACAAAATAGATGCCCATCAGATACAACACATCGTGTCCTCTAGGTGGTGGCACAGGAGGCACTGTTAATGTCTTTTAGGGTATGACTGGCGGAAGTGACTTTTTGATACTAGTTAAGCTACAGAAACGAAGATGGATGATGTGACAGGAGGGAAAATGACCATCCATTAATTAACTGCACAAATACTATTAAAATAGGATGATAACTGAATGATATATTCTTCCAGTAATATGACTTTGTATTATTACTGTAGAATATGCTACAGAATATAGAATATTATAAAAATACTAATATGGTTTCCAAGTAAGTTAAAGTGCATTTCAAGTTTTGTGAAAGGGTTTTAGGACGGAAGAAAATATTTTACAAGACACAATATTTTTTCCTCAATCAGTAAGATAGTCCTTTTAATGACACAGTCCAGATCCCTGCCTTAAGCACTACAAGCTTTGTGTGAATGATGCCACAATGTTAGCAATACTAGTCTAGAACAGTCATCATAATGGTCTTATGCTCCCAGTATTTGTGTATTCATAGTGTTTTCTTTCAAGATGTAGTGAAGTCATCATGGTGGCTTATGACCTTTTTGATAGCAGTTTGGGAATTAAGACCCATGTATTGATGTTGATTTTATTATTGTTTCACAGTGACGCAAGCAGCAGCTTCTTGCATAAATATGGACAGCCAGTTGCAGCTCTTTTAAATTACATTTTTAGGGAGTTTGAATTTAAGTGAAGAGAGAACATTTGTAGGGAGCTACTTTTTGCAAAACTAGAGCATCAGTGAGGCAGGACTTCCCTTTACAAAAGTGTCCCTATTAAGTTAACTCTTCCTCTGAGTCACTAACTTGTTATGTTACAGGCATCAATTTTGCATAAAGGTAGGAAAGATAAAATTCTCTGTTCTCTCATCTGTTAGAGCCTTTTAAAGCCTATAGAAGTCTTTGGACTTCAGTGTAGTCATTGTAATGTTAGCATAGGTAGAACATTTGTTAAAAAATGCTTTTGGGCTGTTCTAATGACACATAATCATTCTCTGTCTTTCATTATCCATCTGCGAGCAAGAATTTGGAAAACAGGAAAATCTATTTAAGTAGACCTTTCTATGTCGATGTCGTTATCTGTAGGGGGAGATACAAGTTCATGTACTTCTCAAGTAAAACCAGTACTAGAGAGACAGTACATACTTGCAGATGTGCAGGAGGTGTTCTCAGTTTCATATACTGGAGTAGGTCTGTCTCTCACTTGCTATGAAACTATGGGTTATATACTGTGTTTGTTTGAGTGTCAAAGCTAGTTTTGACAGCTACATGCTTTAATGTCTCTGCAGCATCATTGTCACAGGTTGATGAAAATCAGACAAACATAAATTCAGATAAGTAAAAATGTCAAAATCTTCTCATGGCTTGTTCTTTTAGTAGAATTTTCAGCCTTTGTTTTCATGGTTTGATCATCGGAAAACTTGAGCTAAAAATGGAGAAGTCAGTACCCATTATGAACAGATCTTCAGGAACAGCAGGGTAACTTACTTTGTCTGTGTTCTTGCAAAACAACCAGTTTGGAACTATGGGTAGTTAATAGAGAAATCTTAAGTCATACAATTCCTCCAAGATTTGCATTTTTATATAGATGTAGCTCTCCTGTAGAGATTTTTTTCACACAGAGTAAAATTATTTCTCCAGAGGATTAGGTTGTTTGAATCTCCATCATGCTTTTGCAGATTGCATTCTTAAAGTACTTTAAAATTAGGTTCTGTTTACTTATTTCTTCTTTATGTTTACTATGATACTCTGGTATTCATGCATATTTATATAACTTTTAAAGATTAGATACTCTTTTTTAATCTCATACGTAATTTCCCCTGACATGCAGGTCCCTTGGAATTGGTGGAAGCTTTAGAGCATGGAGGCTGTCCCACAGCAGGATGTAAAGGAGTTGGGCACATTAAAAGAGCAAGACATATTGGCCATCATAGGTATGTGCTATGAAACTGTAATTTTATTCTTTTGATTGATATGTGCATGGGGTTTTTTAATTGTTGCTCACAAGAAAACAGATCCAACCTGGAAGAAAATACAAAATCTTGTAAACCTAAATATGCAGTGATTTCAGTTGCCATGGTGAGCATGCTGAAATAAACATTAGCAGTCTGTAAGTTCATTTCACTAGGGTGTGCTGTGATAAGATTTGTTGAACATGATTTTTTGTCACAACTGATAGATTCAGCTACTCAGTATTTTATTCCTATGAGGATTCCTCAGCTTGCTGATTGGATTGCAAAATGTTAGACAAATATGTATAAAGTAATAACTTGTGAACCTTTTGAAATATGAGGCCACTAATTTTATTATGGCTTGAATGTTTTTGTCCTGCTTGGTTGGTAGGGGTGAGGATTTGCTTGTTGGCTAGGAAAAATATGAAAAAGGAAATTCCAATTGATGTATTCCTGAATGACAGCCTGGACAACTTGCTGTTTGTACCTAGTGTTTCTAAAGATGCTTTTGTTGAAGACCTTCTGAAATATAATACAGAAATGTGAATGTCCGAAGCTGTCTTAGAGGACATTTGACATAGGGAGAGCATTAGCATGGGAGAATGGAATGGAGGACGGAGAGACAATGACAGTAAATGGAAAATATTTACTAAGTCAAAATTTTATTATCTTTAAAAAAATTGCAGTATGAGGTTAATCCTGACTATTGCAGTAAGGGATATACAGTTAATGGAACATGTTAAATTGAAAATTAAGTATCATAAATATCATCCTATTACTTTTTTTCAAATCAAAGCTTCCAGAAGTTTTCTTGGAATTTTTTCCATTACACAGACGTGTGATCCTCAAATGTCATATCACTTTGTGCTTTCTGCTCTCATTCTTTGATTTGGATTGTTCTTTGATTATTTGTGTATTCAAGTTTTCGAAGTGTATCATTAAACTACTGTGATCCAGGAGTTATCTCTGCAGTCTTTTCATGTTTTCGGTAGGAGAATTATGTCCTGTTAGCTAGAATTATGCTACAAGGTTTTGATGGTTTATCAGCACTGGTTGAAGTCCTGACTCACCCCTAACAAAGATACTTGCCAACAAAATTCACTGTGTTGTTACATGTTTAATGTGCAAAAGGCATCTTTTGCTGCAAGAAGTTCTTTCCTACCTACTGCACAGGTATTGCCTTTGTGTTATTAGGAGGCAGAAGAACTCTTGATGCTAGCACAACCTTTATCTCCAGGAAGGGACTGGAGCTAGAGTTAGAGCTAGGTTAGCTCCAGTGACAAAACCTGTTCCAGTAGGAACTGTGGTGGTGGTGTCATGACACAGTGTGCTGCACTGCTGTCTTTCAGATTATTCTCACCCTTTTTTACTACCTTCCCTTTTGAGAAGCTTTGTTTCACTCATTCAGCAGGATACCTCCTTAAACAGTCACGTTAGTAGTTAAGAGGTTATCATCCTTAGTATATGATAACCTGCTGCATTCATGTTCTTACTCCAGTGCAAATGTGAAACTAGACTTTCCTAAAAAGCTCCCTGGCTGCTTAGCTGAAACACATTTTATTTCATATTCCAGTAGACTGAGTCTTGCATGATTTATTAATGCACCTGATCGGTAAGGCAATAACTTCCATTTCAGAATATTATCTTCCTTACCATGTGCTATCTCAGTTACTTAGAATCAGATTAATATACCCATTCTTAGCCCAAGGCTGAAACTTAAAAAAATCACACAAAACCAAAACCCCTGTAAGTGAATGTGTCAGAAAAGTTTTTAATTTATGATCTCTCTAAATAAGCGTTGGCACTAAAACTTTTAATGTTTCACAGGGAAGGGATGAGTAAAGCTGTATGTCTGTTAGTTCATGTGGCCTTTGCTTTTATAACTAGATTTTCCATGGTATTTAAAGTTGTTATACTTACTCATCCTGAATATTAAAAAAAGAAATAAACTCATGGCATCTATTGTGTTTCATTTTTACTATGATCTTAGCTCATTAACTGATAGTTCTAGTGGATAAATATATAACAAAAGAGATTTTGTTGATCATAAGACAGGTATTTGCTGTTTCATAGCAAGTAAATTAACACTATTAAGTATCTTACTCACTAACTATATTGGTTTGCCCTCTGTGCTGATATTGTTGCTTTTTTCTTGAGCATTTCTGAGGAAAATAATGAGATTTGTTATTTATCTGCAGTCTACAGACTTGAGGGTCCAGGTCACCCCCAAAATTCTAACATTGTACCATCACTGTTTTACTGAATTAACATAGACATCTTGAAATTGGTATAATTATCCACGTCAGAAAGCAGTCCCTTGGCTCTTTTATCTTGGCAACCTTGAAATGTATTTAACCATGCTTATCTTTTTTTTCATAATGAGGTACAATGTCTGTCTACAGCATAAATGCTTGTGTGCAGAAAAGATGATAATTTAAAATGCTAAGTAGTTCTGAAATAATTTTGAGAGCTTGTTCCTTAGGAACTAGATGAAAGCCTTGGTGATTAATTAAGTAGTGAAGTTAAAGCATTCACTTTTTGAAAAAGTTGATGTTAATAAGGACTGGATAACTATCACCAGTTGATCTAGGGTTTTCTGTTGCACAGTTGAAACTGAGACTGATGGGCAGGTTGGTAGCATTATGCAGATCACCTGCATGTTTATGATTGTGAATGGTATGCTCTCTGAAGTTAATGCATGCAGTCGTTTTCAAGTTCAAGCAGTAATGCAAAGTGGTCAGTTGTAAACAGGTCATTTGTGTTTTGTGTCAACTCTTCATGAATAAAGATATTCACCAGAAGCTTTACATGCATTATGTGTTAAGTTGAAGTGCACTGAATGTGCCATAGTGGAGGCTGTGTTGTAGGAGAACTACAGCACAGAAAGGCAGGAAACCTCAGCTCAGCAGGATGTTGCATCTCTTTGTTCAGTGTCTGCTGAAGTGTTTCTCATCTGATTTTGATGCTGGTCTCAAGTTTCATTTTATCTTTTATGTAAGGTCATTAATCCCAGCAAAATCTGTTAGACGCTACTCTTGAGTCAGGTTAGAATGTTGAAGCAGCTTTCTCCTAAAAAAGAATGCTTTGATGATGAATGTGCATTGTAAATTGTGGAAGAGAACATTTTTATTACTTGTTTCCAGAGTAGTTAAAAATGTTTTAATGAAGTCAACGGAAGTAAAGCCATCACTTAATAAAAATCCAGCAGAAAAAAAACCAATACATCCTCCAGATGTTGTCAGGACCTTTTTGCTGGAGGTTTCTTACTAATCATGTATCACTACCAGCAGATGCGGTTATCTGGACTTAGGCTGCTCTAGATAAAGTCTAATCCCAGTTAGTCCAATCTATTTGTTGAACCCATCGAGGAAGATATTCTGAGCAAATCCAGGTGAATTTTCCTGGAGCTGCCATGGAACCTTATCCCCTGGCAGTGCTTGGCAATAACTTGCACCTGAAAGGCAATGAGTAACTTAGGCTGGTAACATTTCTCCAGCTAAAACAGGAGACTTGTCTGTGGCTTCACACACATTTGTGAAATATTCTAAGCAGTCATAAAGAATAATAATCTATATTTTAAAATACTTTAGTATTAACTTCATATTACCAAACAGAGTACCACCTTACTCTTCTTTAGGTTAAAAGAGTATCCTGGCTATGTTCCTTTCTGATATTAGGTGTAGTTGAGGCTGAGTAATCCAGCTGGACTCTGTGCTTCAGAAACCTTGCATACTACTAGAAGATAGGAGCATCTCCAGATGTCTGGAGAAGACTTAAGGTCCATGCCCACACAGCAGTAGCCCAGTTTATCCTACTACCCTTGAACTTTAGAGAAAAAATATATGTGTGTAACCCTACCTAGAGATAGATCATGAGAGCAGTTGTAAAATAACCACAAATGAAATATGCTACCTGGATACTTTTGATCTATCAGACAGTTCTGGAAAGAGCTGATAATTTAAAACCTCTGCTGACTTGAAAATCCCAGGTCTGTGATCCCAGGAATTCTTCAGAATGATAATAGGAAGTAGTAATCAGTGCATTGGGTTTTTCCTTCGTTGATCTTTCCTGATTCCATAAAAACAGAAGCTTCTTTTCATGATCAGTTTTTACTGAACCTGTGCAGGACTCTGTAAACAGTGGCTCCCTGTCCTCAGAAAACTGTGTTATGGACACATGTATTGCCAGCCACTCTGCTGCCATTTCAGTAGGATGCAAAGTGTGCAGCACATAGCTAACTGCTGTTGTATGTTGATCTTTCAACATTTAGAGATGGCTGATTAACTAACTCTCCTGTGTGGGGAGGTTGGGTGGTGTTAATGTGAATATTTGTTTACTGAAATACGGGTTGAGCCTACTGAAGCAGCTCAGATGATAATTGAGTATTTTCATGTTGGACTGGTTTCAAAGCTGTGAAGCAGTGCTGGAGGGTGGCTCTATCACATGTGTAGTAGAGATTTCAAATTGGGTACCTGCTGCTGCTTCCACTTCTTGCCATGCTCCCTGTGCCTCTGGCAGACCTTGGTACCCCCAAGTCAAGGACATCCAGTCATTTTGGAAACTGGCTTCTGAACTTCTGCCGTTTTCAAAATAGTGTGTTAAAACAAACTGCAAGCTGGAGCAAAAATCCAGATTTAAGTTGACAGAAGAGTTAAAAATCCTAATTTAATATTAAATAGCCTAAACATCAAGACTTCTGAGCCTTTGAGATTGAGTTATCTCTAAAACTTACAGTCCTGTATAAAACAATTACTTCTATTATGTAGGAATAACAAGATTAATTTTATGTTCTTTGTAGTAGACAAGTTAGACTGAACTGACGGCTGGAGGCATTGAGATTTAGGAGGATTTACAGATTGATCTGAAGCCATGTAACTCATACACAGGTTCATTCATGCTGTCTTTTGGTGAAACAAAGCTACCAGTGGAAACCTTGAGGGTTCTTTCTGTTGCCCCGAGTAATAGTAACATCAAAGGACTATCAAGGAGTTTTTAAAAAACAATGCAGCAACTCAAATTAATTACAGAGGAAAAGTCGTCTGAATCTAGTGTTCTAAAGCATTGTTAATATTATAGCTGTCATTGACTGAAATTGTCATTCAACTTCTGGTTTTCCAGAAAATGCTAAAGGAAAAAGCATCATGTAAACAGGCAAGTTCCAATGAAAGACTGAATTTTGGGGCTTATTCTTGTTTTTTAATTTAAAACATCTTAATGGTGTTGGTAAACAGAAGATCTGGTGGGAATGAAATTGTATTGTCAGATTTCATTGTGGTGTAAGGCTTTTTTAACTGAAGTTAGATACCACCTTGGTAATGTTTAGTGTTTCCTTGAGACAGCCCTCTGACTGCTTAAAAACACTAAGCCTCAAAACACCCCTATGAGCATAGGAAGCCAAAAGAAGTTTACATACTTTGCCTTATAGCAGTGACAGAACTGAGATTAGCCAATATATTCCTGAGTTTCTGATAATTGTATTTCATTCATCACAGTGGTATGAGTTTGTCACAGCAAGAACTTAAATTGCACTAGCACAGGCTCCTTAGAACCTTTTTCTGAATAGAAGCCTGTATCTTTTATCTTGTAGATCATTTGAAAGGGAAAAAAAAATCATTGTGATAGATGCCTCAGTATAAAGAATATTTTAAAAGTTCCCCTCTTTCCTAGTGTTCTTTTCTTCCCCATCTTTCAGTTCATGCTTTTAGTTCTTTGAAGATGTCTGACAGAGGCTAGTCCTAAGACAGACAAAACCAGTAGGTTGAAAAATAAATGTAAGTAGAGGTATATAAATAAATCCAAAGCAAAATGCCAGATTCTGCTTAAGAGAAATCAGAAATAAAAATTAAATGCTCCAAGTTAAATTTTCTTTGTATATTCTATTCAATATCTTTAAAACATTTTCATTAACAAAAAACCTACCCTATTTCAAGTGTAGTGGTTTAAGAGTCCAGCTATCCATTTGGCTATATCTTACTCTGCTATGTAGACTTCTGGTATGAAGGTACTCATGGCAAAAAACTCCAGTGCCTGTATCTCAGAGGAGGTGCTGGGACTACCACCCTGGGACTACCACCCAGTTCCTGAGAAGGCTGCAAAGATTACTGAACCTGTATAGATCCTCTGAGGACGGATGGCTGTATGTCCCTTGAAAACACTGTACAGGCTGTTGTGGGACACCATCTGCTTGGAATGGCCTTAAATGGGGATCTCATCTTGATTAGAAAAGCAGAAATCATATTCTGCTGGCATGCTTTTCTTCCGTAATTCCAGTTCAGCACAGCTATACAAGGATTTTAAAAAAAAAAAACAAACAACAACAACAACAAAAAAACAAACCCCAAAACTTGATAGTCTTGTTTTCAAATGAACTAGTTGACAAAATCAGATGTGCCGTTGGACTCCTGAGTCAATAACCCTAGCAAGGACTGACTGACTTGGCCTGTGTAGCCTTAAGGAATTTTCTCCTTTTATGCTAGTGTTGACAGAAATGTAAATTTACACCAGCTTTTTGTTTATGTTGGTAAGACCAAAATTACACAACTATTATTGGTCCAATTTCATGATAGGAGTTGATTCATACACACTGTGAATCCAAAACTTCATCGGTAAAGGAAAAGGCAAATGTATGGCATATTTTGAATAAAAGACTTTTTTTTTTTTTTATTCTGTGCTTTGTAAAACAAACATGATAATGAAAACTGTTGGGTTTCTATTTAGTGTTTATAATTTGGAGGTGGCAGGGCATATGGCTGGCAAGGTAGACTTGTTTATATTAGACAGTTCTGTTTGAAAGTCAGGCATGTAACAATCAGTGAAACAAATACAACTTTGCAATAGTTTATGGAAAGCCAGATAGTTATATTCTTGAAAAGAAAATAAATGAAATCCAGGGACATGGGATTTTTACATTTTACCATTGTAGAGGTCCTTGTAATAACACTGGTGAGTAGAAAAGCACAATTTTAGATTATAGTTAGTGTCATGGCTCATGAATCACAAATAGAGCATTATGTTTAGTAGAGCCTGTATCTTAAAAAATTTGAAATCAGAGCATGCTGTTATTTGTTGTTGTGGCATATATATCTTACAGAATTTGGGATATATGAAGGGTTAGTATGTAGCCTGACCAATCAATTGAACATAGCATTGCATTCTTCTAAAGACAAAATCCTAGTTCAGCCCAGTGTGATTTGTGTTGCTCTTCTTCCCTTTCCTACCCCTTGTGGAAGATACAGCTTTCACATTTGCTAATGTTTACAAGTCATTGTCAAAGTACAGTGTCAAATTCTCTCTTTATCTAGTTGGAGTGTAGTGACATAGGGATTGTTGAATTGACAGGAAAGACTGTGAAAATATCACAGTCTTTTAATGGATTATTACAAAATGGCATTTGCAAAGATGGGCATTCATGGCCATAAGAGAATGTGCGGCATTCCTCATACTGTGCCTTTGCAGTGCAGCTTCTGTATGGACATTACATGATAGAAATACCCTCCTTTGTGGGAAAAATAACCATATGAGTATGATTTTATTTGGAGAGTTGGGTATAGTCAAAGGCACCCTGTATATTTTGTATAAAATGCCATTAAAGGTATGAGAGAGCAGGCTAAACATTCATCAAGCAATTTTCAAGAATGTATGCTGTAATATAAATTAATACAAATTTTTGTGTAAGTTGCTGTCAAAAGGAAATTGAAAAACATTTAGGTTGAGGTTTTTAATCAGTGAATTTATTAACATTTTAAATTATGACTATTACTTGTTTTCTAATCTTTATTATATTAATTGATTACCTCTAATTCTAGAAGACTGACCTCTGATGTCATTTCATTTGAACTGAGTGAAGTCAGTAAAGTGTCTGAGAATAAGGAGGCATTTCTCTTTTTCAACTTCTAGTGCAGTCAGCTGCCCGTATTCAGAGATGAACTTGAACAAAGAAAGCCTCTTACCTGACCGGTTGAGCGGGGAGATGCCTGCAGCCAGTCCTGTCCCCAGAAACAGAAAAGTGGAAGCAAGTGAAAGATCCACCTCTCCTGTAATCAAGTAATTACGATCAAAGTGTTGTCCATGCCTAACGGCAGTACTTTATTTCAGTGTTATGCAATGTAATTTGTAGTTGTGTAATGGCTGAATGGTTTCAGAAGGGCCTGCCTATTTATCTACAACAGGAAAGAAATGGTTTCATCAGTGCTTATCGAAAAGGTCACTGAGCTGTCAAAGACTGATACTGATTTTACTATGTATGATTTAACAAGAGTTTGGTTTCATCTTCAGCGTAACTCTCTAGACTACTAAGCGGTTAATTGGAATTTAAAATGGATTGTTTGTCAGTCGATTTCACTTAAGAAAATTATTTATTTGTGTTTCTTCTGCTTGCTGGAGTGGCCTTATTGACATGAATGTAAATTAATGTTGCTCTTTGAAGAATAGCCACTATAAATTATGTTGGTTTTGTGGGAGTGGGGAATCAAGTTACTGGGAGTGAGTTTTGCAAGAGCGATGCAGAAGTCTGTAGCTGAAGCTTCTATCAGGAGCACTGGGAAAAAAACGGAGGCATGTGATACCCAGATGAGGATTTTCAGATGATGGTTTTCTATCAGAAATTGTAGACATCAACTCCTGTGCTTATTTTGGGCTGTGGCGATACACAGAGAATTTAAGAAGGAAAGGAAAAGAAGAGAAGCTTTCCATTATTTTCAAGGGCTACATTAATGTAAATGAAAATGAGAATGTTCATAGTGAAGACTTCCAGTTCCCACTGTAATGACCATGTATTTTCAGTAGATGGTATTTTAAATTATTTACATTCTCAGAGACAGACAGTTTGAGCTTCATGCTTTAAAAACCAAAATACTCAGCTGTCAGAGAGTGCTTCCTGGTTCAGTTGTTCCTATAAATATAGGGTTGTAGAAATCTGAAGTGACTTAATTACCCTCTGACAGGCAGCCCGCGTACTGTCCCAGTGAAGCCAGTAACAGTTTGAGCAGTGTTCGCTGTGGCAGGAACTGTGTCAGGTGTTGCTTTTTTTCATTGTCTCAGTTAAGAGACTGCGTAACATTTTTTAAGGCTCCTGGCTGCACAATGATATATAAGGGGGAGAAGAGAGAGCAGAAAAATGGTACTTCAAAGTTTTCTTGTGTTACAAATATTTGAAGCAGATAGCTTATTATCAAAATTAGACAAATTATGTTACTCTTGAATTTCATAAACATTCAACCTTTGATTTCATGGGGAAGAGAGTTCTGTATTGTGATTTCTGAGATCCCAGGTATACAGTTTTATTGGTGGCAAGTAAAAAACTGCTGTGTAGTTCAGAAACAAAGAAAAACCATGTATATATTCAGTTATATTAATGACTCTTTACCCATAGGGAAAACAAGTTGCATATCAACTCAGCTGTGTTTCATTTTAAACATTTTGGTATTTTGTTTCAAGCAGTGACAGAAAATGCCCCAGCCCTGGTCATATAAGTACAAAATCTTCAGTTCACAATCGATCATCTGGGAAAGCTGTACTAGAAACAACTAAGCAGGAAGATGCAGAAAGTAAATCTCCTTGCAAGAAACCCCTGTTACATGATGTGAAAGAAAAGAAGGCACCTGGGTAACTATAACTTTTTTTCACAGTATGGGTTGTTTGGAGTTGATCAGTTTAAAATGCAGCTTACCAGGCAATGCAGTACAGTGATTTGTCTGGAACTCTTGGAACAGCAGTGGGGAAGGAAATGGAAGTTCTTCAGCTGTCTTTATATTAGAAATGGGGGGAAGGGAGTGTCACAATGTATTTAAGAAATAAGAAGTGCATATCAGAGAGAGAAGGAAAATACTACGAAACTACTGGAAATTGAGATCTTTCTTCCCTTACCTCTGTGTACAAATATGTTATTGTACATGTACAAGTATGTACATGCATTTAAAAATAAAAAGTAATTCCTTAACTCTCAGGATTCAAAGTATCTTGACAAAAAATAACATGAGCTAGTTTCCAAGCTTGCACTGGAAGTATGGTATAAAAAGGCTATCTTTGAAACTAAAAAGATACAGTGTTTTCATAGGGATATGTGAGGCAGTAGAGTTCCCCACATTTTTAACTAGTTACACTATCAGTGCATTATTTTATTGACTGTTTTAATACAAAAATAGAAGACACCTGAAACAAAAAGTGTCATTTGTTATATATTTATGTCAGCTACATTATCATGTGTTCATAATATATGAACTGTATGATTGTTAGCAATAATAGTGTCTCGAGAGACTTCGGATAGTTAGTATTATATGGCAAATACCTCACAGTAAAGCTGATGATTGAAATTTAACTGTTTTGTTAAGAATCAATAAATCCTCTGAAACTCCTCTCTAAGATTTTTTTTTTTAACTTTTTTTTTTTTTTTTCCAAATTTGGTTACCCAGATTTGGCAGTGTTTTACAATTTCCCTTCTTTTTTCCACTAGAATTTTTTTTTCTTTTCTGAACTACTGTTGTTTCTTTTATTCCAAAAACCTATGCTAAATAAAAAAATAAAATTTAATGTGTGGCATTTTGCATCTTTTAAAATTGGTCAGCTTTCTTTAGAACATTCTTTCACATTATTTCAGTCAGGTGCTATTGTTCAAGTTATATTGAAAAAGATGTAGTAGGAGCATCAAGCAGTGTTGATATCACTTCCGTATCATAAACAAACAGCATTCACTAATCGTACACAAGTGAATTTAAACAGTAAAAAAGGACAGAAAATTTCCATGTGTACTTTTGAAATAACCTGTGTTAATTAATAGTTGTCATTTATCACTCTAACCATATTTGTAGTAAAATCATCTTTTTTTTGAAATAAACTTTGACTTTACAGACCATCTCTTAATTGAAGAACAAATTTTTTTTGTCTTTCATTTTTTAAGAGGGTATTACCTTTATGAAGACCTAAATTAACCAATAGGTGTGCTGTCTGTTTGGTGTATTGAGTCATTTTTGTTAAGAGAATTATCAGTCTTGTGCCAACTTTGAACTACCCAGCGGCTTTGCAGTTTGTATTTGAACTGTTTGAATATACTGATGACTCTGCATTTTATCATCTAGCTTTCCACATTCTTTAAGTATCCAGCATAGTCAGAGAGGACTTTTAGTTGAATAAATTTCATTTGAAAAAGGCGTGAAAAACAGCATTCACAACATTAACTATATGTGAATTGATAAAGTTATAAAATATTGAGCATCTGGTTATTGCAATGCCCAGTGGATCTTTTTAGATATGTATTTAAAGTACACATGCATAATTGAAGACATAGATATATCTACTTGTGTGCTCTTTAGCTGCTGAGCTCATAGTGTGAATTTAATTACTTTTGACTTCAGTACAGCTGTGTATACCTTCATATTCCAGGTAGTCTTTTGTTTCATAGAAGACCTTAATTGAGGAACCAACCACATACGAAGCCAGCCGTGAGATTTGTTGTGTTAAATCTAAGTGGTACTCAGATAATCTCCAGTTCCACTTAATCCTTTTCTTTCTTTTTTTTCTTTTTCTTTTTTTTTTTTTTTAAACTAGTAAAGAGGTATCTGTGCATACAAACAATAATACTAGAAAATTTTGGTTTGCAATAATAGTGTGTAAAAACTGTAGTCTGTCCCTCTGGAATGTTCCTGAGATTAAAATTAAAAATAAAAATTACATGCCTACAGCATATTCAATTTTTGTTTTAAAGCATCTTTATACTATAGTCGGAATAGCAAAAGAATTTCACTGTAATAGGAATTCCACTCTGGAGATACCTACAGTAAAGGAAGGTGTATACTCAGACTTGAGAATCAAATGGTACTACTTCTTAAAATTCAATTTTCCTTCCAGCCCCTTCCTTAAAACCTTCAATTTGTGATACTATCTTGTATTTAACTAGTGAGATAAAATTTCTGGGTGTGTTGCTATGAAAATTGTCCTCAAGAAAATAGGAAGATCCATGTTTCTTCACAGATTTTGGTGGTCTCTTTTCCTTACATTTAATTACTGTAATCATTTGCTTTGACTTTGGAATTAATTGCACTACTTCGTAGTATCTCACTTTAAAAGCTTTCTGTGTTTGTAGAGGTTAGGAAAATAATTTTTAAGTAAATAAATACAGGTGATATTTCTGAGTAGGATACTGTGAAGAAGTCCTTTGTGGCACAAGAAGGCATGCCTGCTGTATGCATTTCCCTGGCATTGCTTGTCATACCATTATTATTTGTGTCCTACCATACTACAAAGGCTGGATTTTTTGATTGTGTTCATTTTGCACCATTTATAGTGTGTTAAATATATCTCTGTTGCTGTCAGTGAACTTGCAGTTCCAAGCTGTTTTATTCCAAATTGCTTATTTGTATTTAATATATAAATAGTATTTAATAATATAAATGTAAACAATTGAGTTAAACAGGTCTGTTTCTTCTTTGAATTTGTGTTTTGTGGTTAGCTAATCTTGGTGTTAGCTCTAGTTTGGCTTTTTATCCGTGTTTGGGACATGTGTAAAGGGGTTCTTGTTGACTGCTTCTCTGGTAGATAGTAAAGCATGGGTTTCATGTAGTGGGCTTCCTTGTAGTCTTGACTTTAAGGTCATTCTGTCTGGTGCCTATTTGTAGAAAATGTTTATTATGTACTTAGTATCTGAGAGTTCTGCATCTGTAATGGTTTAGTAAGAATTGGCCGAAGTGTTCTCAAGTTCTTAAAAAGCAAAAGGAAATAAATAGACACATCATGTCAGCCAGTTGATATAAGCTTAGTTTCTGTAAGAAACCATGCTGGAAATACCTTCTGAAGGCAGAGTTTGAAAAGGAACTTCCCAGGGGCTGACTATAAGATGCAAATACACCCCACCCTCCTTTGAGAAGTTCTCTTATTTCCACCTCTCCTGACCCATTTTTCTCAGTAGGGGGAAGGCATTCCCTCTTTGCAGCTGTTTGGGCTGGCAAAGCTGAAGGAGCAGCCACAGCAGCAGGCAGAGTGGCTCTTTTAGCTGGATAAGAAGTAATGCAAAAACAGGAACAAAAGAATACAGATATTTTCATAGGAACGTAAATAGCTGCACAACCATGTGTCAGTATAGTACAGTAATTGGGGTGGGGTGGAGATGAAGGTTGGCCAGAAAAGAAGGAGTAGGTGTAGTTTCAGACAGCTCCTGAAAATGGCCTGGGTAACCAGTAGGAGATGCAGCTATATATGTTATTCACTCTTCCCATCTTCTGCCTTCATTTGTATATTTTCTGGTTTCAGTTATGAAGTCAAGTGTGTTGATAGGAATTATGTAATCAGTTTACACTACTCTTGAGCCTTCATTGCGGAATTCATGTCAGTAGTTATGCCATCTGTGTAAGTCAGAAATTAGATCCTCTCTTTTTTTTATTTTATGATACTACATCCTTTGTGTGGGAATCCTGGTGTGTTAACAGCATTGTTAGCAAGAGATGTCATCATGCTTAGTGATTTTTATGATGTATTAATAAAAGTGAACATCTTATTTTCCTCAGTGTAATATTACAAACAAAGGACTCCATAAAGAACAAAGAGTGTGAAGAAGAGGAGACAGAAAATAAGCTGCTCATTTCAAATGAAATTAAAGGTAAATTGGCAGTACTTAATTTGTTTTATATTAAAATCTGCAGAACTAAACAAATATGTTCTTCCTTGAGGTTCATCATGAAACTGCATTGCTACTTATTTTTGACATTTTCACTGTGACCAAAAATTTCTTGACAGCAACACTTTTAACACAATGTTTCTTTATCTTGTAATCGTCATAGGTTTTGCCAGGAACTTTATCGCAGTTGTAAAGATGAGTGCAAAATGAATACTGGTATAAAAAGTTTCATTTCAATAATATTTTTCCACTGACTTTTAAAAATAGGCAATTAAACCAGTCTGAGTTATAAAGGTATAGCATTTACTTGTTGCTTAAAAAGTGTATTGGAAGAAAGTTAAAGCATTTACATGTTACAGGCATAACATAAAGTTCAGGTGACTTACTCAACCCAACCTCAGTCTGTTGTGCAGTCTGATACTTTCCAGCAATCCACGTGCAGAACAGGCCCTTTTTTTTTCATGAGTGTTACAGAGGGATGGCTACAGTTTTTATTTCACTGAAAAACTGGAGACAGTCCTGTGGAGGGCCACCAAGATGATTAGGTGGTTGAAGGACTTGACATATAGAGAAAGGTTGAAGGAATTTGGGAAGGGAAGGCTTGGAGGAGTCTCGTCACAGTCTCCAGTAACTAGAAGGTAATTACAGGGAAGATGGAGTTACCTTGTCCTGCAGGACGCACAGTGGCTGTGGTGGTAAAAAAAAGGGAATGAACACAAGTTGCTTCGGGGGAAATTCTGTCTGAATAATAAGAAACTTCTTAACATGAGAACAATTGGAATAGGCTGCCCAGGAAAGAGGTGAAATCTCTCTTGCTGGTAATTCTTAGGACTTATCTTGACAGGGCCCTGTATAACTTAGGCGGATGCCCTGCTCTTAACTGAAGGTTGCATCGTAGGTCTCCAAAAAACCCTTCCAGCATGGGCTTTACTTTGGTTCAGTGATTCTCTGTGATTGTGTGTACTGTGTCAAAACCCTTGGCTGTTCACTTATCCAATTGAATAGATTGAGGTAGCTGTTCATTATTCATTTTTATCCTCATTGTTTAGAAAGAATACAGCACAAATTCAGAATGTCACAGTCTTACATTTCATAATTATTTTGCATGTGTGAAACTCAGTATGTCAGGCTAGTTATTAGACTGAGTCAGTGCATTGTTTCAGTGCAGCATTTGCTGCAATAGTTTTGTTAATTCATGCAAGTTCAATGAGAAGCTAAATGTCATAATTTCATAATATAATTCCTTAAATTGTTAGATGTTTTTTCAGCAATTTGTTGTGCAACACAAAATTTGCAAGGCTTTCATCAAAAATCTTGAGACTCAAGTAACTGTGGTTCTTTAAGGGCTGCATTTCTTACCTTTTAAGTGAGCTCATCCTTGTAAAACCCAGGAAATGAGCCTAGTAGAGCATTGCATAAAGATAAAATAAAGGTAGTCGTTTGTTTTTAATTATTAACCTCAGATACATTTCTTTTGTCTTAAAACAACATTTGTCTGCTAGCACTTTTCAGATAGATTTAAGAGGCCCTGCGAAGAGCATGTGAAATATGAAAGATTTCATCTATTACAAGAGCTGTGTAAAAAATTTCAAGTTGTTACGGTGTTTTGAAACATGATATAGTTCAGAATTCTGGGAAAATGAGGCATTGAAAGAATAATCTCTAAAGCAGATGAAAAAAAATCGGTTTTGGTCATTTGAAGTATTCTGTTTCAGCAGAATGGAAACATACCTTTTTGATGTTGACTTTGCATTATATAACACAATACAAAAAATATAATATCGTTCAGAGCATTTTCAGTTGTCTGCAGTTCATTTTTATTCTAGGAAAACTGGCCTGATTTTGTGAAGCATTTTGAGTTTGGCAGAATTCACTGTATGGATAAAGTTTCACCAACAAGTTCTGCTTACTAGGTTAATTTCTGTGTAGGGTCTTACATAATTAGCTTTATAAAACTAAAACACTTACATTGTTGTTTAACAAAAATTCTCATTTTTATCTCCTTTTTATACACATAATTTTGTGCCCTTATCTGTTTATATATGCCATACTACTTAATCTTTAGAATGAAAATGGATCACCGAGTTCTTGCTGTCATAGTCATGGAAATCTCAAGCTAAAATAATTGCAATTATGCAGACTTTTGTGAGCTGTGACTGCTGGTACCTCTGCTTGTTGTCCTGTTTTTTCATGTCACTTACATTATTATTGTTCAACCTACTTTTGCCATGCTCACTTGACTAGTTTTCCACTGATGCTTTATAAAACATGTACTGCTATCTTTCCTTTTTTGGAGAAAGATTGTTTGGAGCTAAAGAACTCCACTGAAATCATGAAATCATACTAGCTGTTTTACGGACACAAATTCTTTGCTTCAAAACCTTCCACATGCAGGGAGCTAGAACACACAAGAGGGAATGACCAGTGGTAATGGTCTCTCATTAATGCCAGAAAGTGTTTGCCATTTAGCTTCTTTGAAACATTAGGTTATATTTTGTTGGGAGGTAACTCACTGAGAAGATAGAGATGAATTAAGGAAGATATAGTTCAGGGAGAATGATAACATGATGGCATTAAATATGAAGAAGAATGCAGAGGCACGTGGGCTGATGTTGAAGAAAAATGTCAACAAGGAACAGTGATCAGGGTTAAAAGTGTGAACTTACGGCATCTGGCTCTGCTATCTCATGTGGAGCTGGCAAGCAGATTTGGTTTCTTCATTTATGTGGTTCAAGGAGCTCTTTGTGGCTCTGTCATGAAACTGGCTAACCCACGATGCACCTCACGTTACTGTTCTCCTAAATGTCTAAATTGAGACATAAATTGGAGTACATCACATATTTTCTCTGGCCCGTGAACACAGATTGCCTCTCTATGGGAAGCAGGGCTTACAAAGCAAGGAATACCAAAGCATAAGGGTACAGAGAACTTCTACATGTCTAGTATTACAGACAGATTGTAGCCAAAATTTGTGCTTTGCATTGTCCTTTGTAAGAAGTTACACTAAAACTAAACTTCCTTTTATCAGGATGTGGTTATATCTGCTGCAGGGTTGGGGATTTTTTTTTTTCTTTTCCTCTATCTAGTTGGGTGAATTGACCCTTCACATGCTTCTTTTGTGCTGTTCAACTTACCTGTGAGGCAGATATGGCACAGGCTGAGAAACAGAGGTATTTTTGCCCACATCCTCAAAGACATTAGGCACTGCATTCCTTTCCATGTCAATAAATAGAGCTCTTAAATGTGAATAGATGGAGTACAAGGTTAGCATCATGCAGTGTCACGTTAGTAAACTTAATTTCTGCTAACCTCATTCATAACCAGTTGACCTGTGTTTGCTTCAAGTTTTCCAGAAAAACACAACATGGACAGACACCCAGCATAGATTTTTCATCTGGAACTGTTAGGATTTGACACATAAACTATTGAAAATAAAGACATATGAGATAGGTATCCTTAACTGTCATTGCTGCTGTTCACTATGCATGTACCTATATGCTCTTATCCTTATGTATACATATGTTTAAACATGTGTGAACATGGAGTGCAATTTGCTTGCAATTTTCTTCACACAATATTGTCAAATGCTCTTTATGTTGCAGTATCAATGCATTATATGTTTTGTGAATGGACAACAGAAAAGCAAAATATTTATATATTCAACTCTAAGAGATTTTGTTTAGAAAGAAGAAATTAGGGGATAAGAATAGGGAGGGGTTTCAGGGGAACAATAAGGATATTATTCAGTAAAATAGGCTTTACATTCAGCATGCTTGCTGCCTTATAAGACTCTTTCTCACTGAGATTTTTAGTTGTAGTAGAAGCTCTAAGGTACATTTGAAGAGTAACAGTGAAGTGTAAACAGGCATCTAGGGAACTCACTTCCAGGAGTAAGAGTATGATGCTAGGAAAAAATTAAGGAGTCTATTTAAAAATTTCATCAGTGGAGTGACAATACTGACTAAATGGCTTAAGAGTCAACTTTTGAATAATCAACATTGATGTAAAATGAATATTTTAAATAAAACGTTACTTGAAAGTGAGAAAAATCTAAGCTGGAGGAGCAGAACAACACAATCATATCCTATGTTGGCCACATTATATATTCTAGAACAGTTCCACTGTGCTGGCAAAAATCTATAATAGGAACTTATGCCCTAGTTGTTGGGCACAAATGTATGAAAACTAGAACAGTAAGGATAAGAAGAACTGTAAATAATAGCAACTTCCCAAAAATGGTAATAGAATGAAACTGTAATAAAGAGAGCGATCCAAACAAAAATAGCACAGGGATTTGTGAGTGATTGCATGAAGCCATGGCAGTAAGGAATATTAGGCATAGGTTCCTTGTTGGCTGTTTCAGAAATGAATTCCAGAGATCTTCCACAATTTTACTTGACAATTGGGAAGCATTCAGGCCTGAGTTCATAATGAAGCAGGCACGTTGCTTTTGCATTTGCAGTGGATCTAAATGAGTGGAGATGTCTTACGCAGTTTGACATCATTTGAGGCATGCCTCTTCACTCTTTCCTCCTACACACATCTGCAACTGCTGTTGCTCTCCAGACAGCAGCAGCAACAGCAGGATGTGGCTGAAGCCACCCTCCCACTGGTACATTACCTTTGAGGCCAGTGGGATGGAAGCTCATTCCTTCCATTATGGATAAGTGAGATAAAAAGGGAAATGACCTTGTAAAAAAACCCATAGCAGCACGGAGGAGCTAAATGTTATTTTCCAAATAAAACGTTCAGTTAAAGTGGGAGCAGGGAATTTGCAGACATTTGTGGCTTTTCCTCAGAAGAACTGAAAAACATTTTGTGGTGGATGAAGCATAAATGTTGTGTGGGCTGGAACTGTACAACTGATTCACTTGAAATTTTGTAGCAGTGCAGTGCTGCTTTTGACAAAGTTAGAACAGCTCAAACCTGGAATTAAGTTAATTCTTTTACTACTGTACAACTATTAAATGTGGGTGTGATGTATTGTATCAAAATATTTAAAATTACTTGACCTGTGGTGTGGTATGCCAACAGTTGTGTCTGCATAGAAGTGTGTTGTGTTGGATGAGACTTCTCCCATGTAGGATTAGTCACATTTATATAGAGCCAATATAATTACAGTCATACTAGCGAAAGAAGTCACGGTACTCCTCTAATATGGTATAAGCAGAACTGTACAGCTTGTATAGGGAGGCCCATATATATCAATAGAAATGCATGTGTATTGACTGTGACTGATCTCATCACTGAATGAGAGATTTAATGCTTGTTTGTTGCTTCCTTTTGTTGAAGATGTTGAAGAACCCAACACACAGAGGCTTCTTTCTCAACCAGTTATTGTGTCTTCCAAGTTGCAAATCCCTGGCCTACCCTTGCGCTGGGAACAGCAGAGCAAGCTCCTTCCAAGTGTAGCTGGGATCCCAGCCAGTAAAGTTTCTAAGTGGAGTACAGATGAGGTAGGTTTCCCCTCACTGCTGCTGCCCTTGAAGTTTGGTTGATTCAGAGTTTTAGATTAGCCCCACAGATTAACAATAATGCATGAGTACTCACAGGATTAGAGTCAATCAGATGTAACAGATCCCCAAAATGTCTGTTCAGCTGCCATCCAGCCCTAGAAGCAGTAAGTATTAATTCATATATGTATAGATAGGTATAGATACAGATAAATATACATGTGTATATACTTGTGTGTGTATGTATATATTCAGTGGGGTTAAAAAGGGAAAGAAAAGTGCTGAATGCATGGCCCAGCAGATCAGGTGTTCAAGGTGAACACTAATAACATCTGGCACCTAAACAGACATGCTGGAGAAATGGTTTAGGGATCAGCATGGACCAAGGAACTATTTCTAGTGCATGGTTTGGATGTCACTTACTGTTTTGGAGAGTGAGACTATAGTGCAGAGAGGGATGGTATGGTTACAGTGAGTCCATGACACCTGATCGCAAGATTAGAGCCCTGTCCCTGTTCAAGTATGTAATAATGCTTGGGGACAGACAGGGTCTAGTTCCTGCTTTACTTTCAAAAGTACCTATGACTAAGGCAGTTTTCTGCAGCTGGAACGATCAGATCTTCTCTAATCCGAGAAAAAAGAAACAGGAACTTTAAGAAAGGATTTGTTAATCTCTGTGCTGTAAAGAATAAAGAAGAGGAAGGCAGCAACCATTTCAGTTTGTGAGAATTGATTCATCAAGACAAGGTTCATGGTTCTTGATCTGCATGAATATAATAACCCAAGTAATTCTGAGGGAGTAGACATACCCCACTCTCAGATGTCCTGTGGACAAGAGTGGCATGCGCTCTTGTCTGCAGATTTGTGAATCCTGTCCTTAAACACCCAGCTGCATGATTCCACGCACTGGCAGAAGAAGGTGGAACATCTAATATAAGGCTGTAAAAACAATAGCTAAAAAACTACTTTGGGAAGACACTGGTCTCACTAAATCTTTTGTTATATACTTTGGTGGCAGGTCTCTGAATTTATACGGAGTTTACCAGGATGTGAAGAGCATGGCAAGGTGTTTAAAGACGAGGTGGGTGAAATTTGTTTCAAAAAGACACAAAGCTTGCTGGAAAGATAATTTTATGCCATCTTAAAGATACATATAAAGTAGTAGGATAAAGCGTATGTTTAAAGTCAGACACAAATACATGGAAGATTAGGTTGTTTTGCAGGTCATGGAGTGGGAAGGAAGAAGATAAAACTAGCTAACAACCAGGTCTCTGGTACTCCTCTAGCTTTGTTACTGCAACTGAAATTAATTCGAACTAATGATAGAAGAGGATGAACTTTATGATGTACCACTGTTCTCTCTTAATCTGGTTTGAGGAAATTTGTAAGTGTGCTATTTTAGTTCTGCAGGATGTTAATAGGTAAAACAAAGCAGAGCAGTGGTTCAAGCATCTCTTAAAACTCTGCTTCTTGTCTGATCACACTTAGCTCTTGATGCTCTTCCTCCCAATACAGTTTGCAGGAAGTGAGTAGATCTGAAGGCTTCTGCTAAAGTTCACTGGTGTACTCATTTTGTGAGCACGCCAGGCAGGTATTTCTGATATCAGAAGATTGTTGTGCCAAAGCTGTCATTAGGAGGTGATAGGGCGTTTAGGTACAGTAGGCTAGGTTGACTTTTTCTTTTCCATTCAGAGATTTGTTACTTCTGTTAATGCTTAGTTTCAGGAAGGCTGTTTGATCATAGATTGCCAGAGTGAATATGAATAGTTCAGGTGCTTGTCCCAGCCAGAACACCTGAATGGGCAGAGTGATACTGTAATATTCAAAATCAGACCACCTTTTCAGTGAAGAATAATTGTGGTACTTAGACTTGAGAAGGGGCCTCCTGAGGAATATGCATACTGATGGCCCTGCTAATGTCTGGTGACAAAAGTTTTCAGGCTGTGCTGTAGATTGTAATACTATTACACTTGCATATCAAAGGACTGAAAGGCTGCATCTCTGGGAATTTTATGCTTGCTTAGATTTTAGTCATTTTACAGTTGCAGCAGGTATGCTGGCCTAGATCATCCACAGTGTCACTTAGTGTGTCTCACCAATGAATTTAAGATGGTGTATTGCTAATCAAGTCAGCAGGTGGGAAGTGCCACAGAGATGGATAAATTCTAAACACTTTCATTCTCAGAGGTGTAAGAGAATGCTTCCCTTCTTGAGGATTCAGCCTTTCATGCTTTGTCTGTGACTAGGTAAATTAAACGTCTCCCAGTGAGGCCAACTGGCATGGACTGGTTGGCATCAGTAGGTAGAAGGTGCTGGTTCAAACCTCTGCTGTGGAAATGAACCCCCATCTTGCTTAACATAAGATGGTGCAAAAAGCTGGCCACCCCCACGTTCACAGGCTTCTGGTTCTGAGCCCACCCAGTCTGGCTTTGTGCACAAAATGAGTTAGAAAGTGATTGTGGTAACTGCATGATGCTGTTCTCACTGCAGTTTTCCTCAACTTATGGTGCTGGGGTGTACCTTGCAGACTTCCTTTATAGCCCGTCTGATTCAGAAAGCTTGTCTTCTAGTCCTACAGAAACATAATGACACGGGTTTTATCTCAAATTAGTATCTTTAAGCCTAAGCAGTGCTCCTTATTTAACTCAGTTGGCTTTTAGGCCTAGCTATCCTGCTTATGTTACACTGAAAACTTACTATAGATATCTAAGTGACCTGAAGTTTACACAAGAAGTGTTGGCCCCAGTGAAACCTTTGGATATGAGGGCCTTGTGGCTCTTCATGTTCAAATTTAGCACTCCTGGCTGACAGCTATTTGCTTACAGGAGAATATTCACTTGTAGCACTTATTAAAATAGCAAAACCACAAACCTGGCTGAAAAAATATTCAGTGTTCTGAAAAATTCTGTTTGTCAGAAGTGTCAAAGAGGCAGTTTTATGTAGCCTGCCCCCTGTTACATCAGGGACCAAATTAGTTTTAATTTGCTGTTTAATGAACAGAAAGGGGTGGCCTGAAGTGAATTCCAGTTCCAGGGAGTGAAATCCAGAAACTTTCTTACGGAGGCTTACATAAAAGGAGTAGCTAAGATGTTAAAAAGAATTATTGTGCTGCAGTACAGTTGAATTCTACTTAATTATGTATTTTACTTTTCAGTAGCTTTTACTTTGTACTATCAATATAAAAAGAACAACTGATCAGCTAAAAATAAGCCAGACAGTTGTTTTCACGCAGAATGATGATCATCATCCTGTTCTTTTGGACTAGCTGATCTGTCTAAAAGGTTGAAATCAAAGCTATCCTGAAAGCATTTGAGTGAAAGTGCTTGTATTTAGCCATTGCTTTACATTGTCTGAAATTGCTGGGAATTTTCTTTTCATGTTTTCTGAAACATCTATACTGCTGCACTGTCAGACCTACTAATAGCTTTGTGTGTTTTTTCTTTTAAAGCAAATTGATGGAGAAGCATTTCTGCTAATGACCCAATCAGACATAGTCAAAATAATGAGCATTAAACTGGGCCCAGCACTAAAAATCTTTAATTCCATTCTGATGTTCAAAGCTGCGGAGAAAAACTCACACAATGAACTTTGAAGATAATGGAAAATGTGTACGAGCCAGCTTTCTCCACTGGAGCTCATGTTTTATTCAAAGCACAAAGTCGCGCTAGAACTGTTGAGTAAGGACTCTCAGAAAGGAAGAAACGTACGTTCAGCACTGGTGGACTATTTATATTCTCCTAGAGCCAGTACACATGTGAATCCTTCTGGGAAGTATTCAAGCTTTTGAGAAGGTACTGTGTAACAACCGAGTCAGCTAGTCTTATCTACCAAACTAATGGGGCTAGTTCTCCATGGATGGTTAGGAACCCTAACTTTCTCTGGACATCAAGAAAACCTTCGTGAATTATTTATGCTGTATTATATAAAGGAACGTTAATATTTTCTAAGAATTCTTGAATTCTACTTCATGTACCCATTTTACTTTTCAGAAGCTTTTACTTCATACTATCAAAATATAAACTGATTAGCCAAAAATTAGGCTACAGGTAGCCAGATGAGACTGTTACGGCTAATACATATTTGTGCCATAGTTTAAAAATGAAACACTTAATGTTACATATGTGACACTTTATGCTACAGCAGATAACTTTACAGATTATAAAACTGTCTGTTTGCTTGTAACAAAACAAAACAAATCTTGTTGGGGTTGAAATTATAATGCTTTTTTGATAACTGAATGTTTTTACTTTTGCACGATTACAAAATGTTATGTGAGTTTTTCCACCAGCATCTTTAATGTATTTTACCAAAATATCAGTACAGAGAAGGCTGCAACTGAAAAATAAAGTTTGACTTCTTAGAAGACTTTTCGTTTATGCTGCACAACAGAGTCCCAGCCTTTTACATGGGACCCTGCTACAGTCCTTCAGCACATGAAGGGAAATACCTGTATTTTGAGGTAAGGATACTAGCAAAAAAGATAACATATTCATTCAAGTCTGCACATGCCAGTCTCCAGTATAGTTACCACAACAGTGGAGAAAAACTGTGCTAAAGCTAGGACTGCTACTCTGGTTTCATATTCAATATAGGTTTGTTTTCCCAATGGTGGGAGAATTATTTCACCCACCACTTTGTAGTTGGAAAGTCTGATTTATAAATGAATAAGGCATAGGAGGAAAGACAAAGCATGGAGGAAAAGGATACTTAAACGCATATGGTGCATGAGCATGCGTTTCACTGGGTCATTAGCAGGCTGTAGATGCCACCAGCAGGTACTTAGGTGAGGCAACCTTCTTTCTTGGAGGACTATAACGATTTGTCAGGGAAAGTCATTGCACTTGGTATATATAGGTAAAATGTAAACCAGATGCACTTTAAATGGGAGAAAGCCTAGCTACCTGTATACTGAGGACTGTTCCAGAATGTTACTTTTTCAAGAAGAGAGTGAAGAGTTGGATCAAGATTTTTGGCAGCCCTCTTAGCACTGCAGTGGGCAGTTGCTCAGCCTTTAGAGCTGAGAACAAGCAGAGCATTTCCGTTGCACAGAGCTGAGAGAATTTTACATCTTCCCACAGATTTTGCTAGGCTGTTCTTTGGCTGGAGTTCCTTAAGATTTCAAGAACTCTCTGTGCCCCTTCCAGATCGTGTAGGTGACTGGTACCTGCCATAATATGAGGTGAACAGGGTCAGTATGAAGTAAGTTGCATTGGTCTGTTAATTTCCTTCCATAGCATTGCATAAATAATATTTTTACATTTTGTTCAATATTTGTACATTCAAATTGCACTCTTATTGTACTACAATACAAATAAAACCTGAACTGGAGCTGTCTGTTACATTTGTGTGTGCCCAGGATTTTTAGATGAACCTGCCTGTTCCCAAAGGCACTGTGGAGTCATTCCTCACCATAGCTCAGTGTGGCCATGAGTTTAAAAGAGCAACTTGCTGCTGCTGTCTGCCCTCTTCCTAAACACTTACTCCTAAGGATACCAGGCCACTTGCTGTCACAATCAGAATCCCATTTATGGATTTTTCCACTGGCAGCAGTTCAAGTTGCCCATGCAGATCAGCAAAATGACAAATTCTTCCGTTTTCTTTCCTTTTGCCCTTCCACATAGTTTATTTTCCCTCACCCTCTGTGTCTCTCTTGTGCCAGCTCTGTACCCTGCAGTGAGAATCAATGAAAGATTTGCTGCTTGACAAGGATTACTTGGGGATGCTAGCAGATCCCTGAATTTTTATATACTTACTTGCAAAGTACTGTGGTTTAAGGAATGGGTTTGAATACTGTTTATAAGATGTAGTTTAAACCTCTCTTTAATGATACAGAGCCCAACTTTTTATTCATATAGCTATCACAACAGGGAGGACATGCATAATCCTTACTCTTGTATCCTGTGTGATGAGGCTGCAGGGTGGAGCCACCTCTGTTTCAAAAACTACACCCAACAAACTTACTCAGAAATTATGAGCACTGAGGACATACTGAATCTTTAAAATGGCAGTTGATACTGTTTTCTGTGTTGTGTTGGAGGTGGCCCAGCCATCATACAGGTAAAGGTTGTCCCCTGATTTCCATGGGAACCATGTGAAAAACGCTAAAGCTTCATCAAGAGAGTCTAGCCACTAAATGCAGCAATCTCCCCCCATACTGTAGGATCTACCACTGTGATCTTTGCATTGGTGTCACCCCTGCACAGCCAGGCTTTGACAAAAGTCCTGTGGTCTTCCAAGCTGTGTGTCTGAGTGATTGAAGAATTGAGGTGACCACAAACACCTCCTGGCCTACACAGCCTTTTTTAGAACTGGTGAGAGATCGATCTCTTCATTAGAATGTAATGTTTTAATAAAAAGCCATTTTAATTTCTAATTAATGCAGTGGCTCATGTTTGCTGGCTGTTGCTACTGTCCATCACTAGGCACTTGTCCAAAGCCATGTCCTGTCAGGCAGTAACCCCTGGGATTTCCAGACACGCAGGAGTTAAGAGGAGCATGTTAGGGAGAAGAGGAGGCTGTGGAAGAACAGAGGAGAGGGCCTCCGCTCTGTGTGGGCAGACAGGAGAGTCACCATGTGGAAAAAGCCGATTTGTTCTGGGGAACAAATTCAGGCAGAAAATGAGGCGTTCTTTCTCTGGCGCCAAAGCTGTGGTTACAAATGCACATGGCAGCATCCCAGATAAGTCATTCTTGCTACTTTGAGAGCTCATCTCAGAATCCCTATTTAGCAAATTCAGAATTAATGTTTAAAAAAAAAATGCTTCATGCATGGAGAAAATAGTGAAAACTTATAATCCTGCAAATGAAAAATCAGGCCTACCCTTTTAAAACACAAAAAGTAATTATAGTAGGCTTTCAGTGATCATAATATAATGAAACAATAAGAACAAGAGATCTTTTAATTTGTGTCACTTCAAAACACTGACTGTATTAGCATCTGCAGGAGTGAAGTGCTCATGTTAGCTCACAATGTGTTTTCAGAATTCTGACAATCAAAATATCCAAATTTGTCAAATGGTCCATCCGGACAAATAATACACGACACATGCAGTAATCTAGAAAATTTTATTATCTCTAATGCCTCTAGACTGTTGTAGTATTTCCATTTAAAATAATGAAAATGCTTGGGGTTTAGATTTGTAAAAAAGTAGCCAGTACAATAAAAAAAAAGGGGGCATTACTAAACATAACTGTTATACATACACTTTCACCAGAAAGAATGGCACTGATGTATCTTCACAACAAAGAGATTTATTTTGAAAATGTCAAATGTTCCCAAGAGGAGTGCTGTGTACACACCATCAGATACTGGAATACTTGGGTGCCTCCAGCCCTCTCTTCACCTGGGTGAGCAGGGATGCTGGGCTCCTCACCTCAAAGACCAAGGACTCCAGGAAGTTCAGCGTCCTGTGGATTCTCTCTGGGCACGGGATATCAAACACATGAAATGCAGCCACCAGTGCAGCCAGGGCCATGGTGCAGTCATCGAGCTGAGCTAGCTCTTCTCTTCCCACATACAGCGCAAACTCACATGCATTCACATTGAAGGGATTTTTTACTTCCAACACTGGTGTCACTGCCTTTACCTAAATTTTAAAAAGGATATTTCAAATGATGTCACAGCATCACTTTGGTGAACAGGTCAGAGAATTAAGTAACCCTAATAACACTACTTTGAATTTAGCTAGTATTTCTGTGAATATGCCTTCTACCCAAAAGGCACGCTAATGAAATCTTTTCCAGGAGCTAAGCTGAGCCACCAAAAAAAGGCCAGGTGATGTGCCCAGATAGCTGATGCAGGGAAGAGAGACCAAGACTGTCTCCTACCTCCTCATTCACTGCCACAAACAGACTGGAATCATCTCCGAAGACATCTGGCAGAAGTAAACATGCAGCAGTCATTTTCATATCTGTCAAAGGCAAGGATTTCTACTAAATCACAAATGAAAACATTCTGACACTGTATTATCATCCTGAAAAAGCAGATTGCACCCTATATAATAGTTAACAGCTCAGCAGTGGAACTGTTGTTCAGTCCATTTTAAAGAGTTTGAAGGTTCAGGTGCCTCAGCTGGCAATGGGCATTAGTATTCAAATTATTCATGACACTCAGCTACTCAATATTATGATTAAATTTCTCTCACAATAAGTAAGTAAGCCTTTGGGTTGCTTCTAGTAGAGTCTGCAAGCTGAGTAGTCCTCCTGCTCCCACCACCCATCCCCGAACTCCTCTTTCCCCAGTAAATCAGACGTCTCTGGAGAGTTCTCTTGCCAGAGGACTCCACTCTGAAGGCTGCAGTACAAGCTGGTGCTGCAGGATCTCCTGGGACATGGTATCTGCTAACTCTGGTTCAGCTATTACTGACTCTAACATCTTTTTTTACAGCTCAGGCTTCTGGTGTCGTGTGTTTCACTGAACCTATCTTGTGAGGCATTTATTATCTAGGTGCCAGGTCAAGTTGTTTGTGAGAGAAAAACAGGAAAGTAAAGGTCTTGGGTCTTTACTAAGGTATGAGTTAAAGTTTTTGTGGACATATTGTATAAGAAAAAGGGAAATTACTTACAACATCCATAGCTTTCTAAGGCCAAAGGTATGAGCAGAAAGTCCGTAAAAGCTTTCTGGATTTGGCAGCTCACTGACACTTTTTTATCTGTCATAAGCTATTGAGTACTTATCTTTTTTAAACTTAAAGGAAGAAAACCCTGGTATTTAGCCTACTCTGCTTGCTTAAGAAATGGCCTGGTAATAAAAGGAGTGAAACTGCCATAGGAAACATATGTGTTCATACTGTGTCACCTTTGACTTGACATCCTGGCGTTGTGCTTGTTTGATAGAAAATTACAGTCTAAGGAGCACTTCTTGCGGAGCTAAACTCGGGCATAGGCATCAAGAGCTGCAGTGTGGGAAGAATAACGATTCTAACTGCTTCAAAGGTTTGTCCCTGCAGAACCACACTCCCCCAGACTTCTCAGACTGAAAGAAGTTGAGTGGCAGCAGGTACTTGCTCCCTCACAGCCAGTGAGCAGAACATGTTGAGGTATGTGAATGTCTATGCATGGCTGTGGTACCTGCTTGCGAGACGTACCATTTTGTAAGCTTACTCCTGTAATGTGTCTCTGCAGAGACAAGGGACTTGAAACACAGTGCTGACTACTTCTTCTGTTTCACTGGGATGAAGACTTTAAC